GGGGTTTGCGGCCCTGGGGAGTGTGTGCGGCCGTACAAAGGGGTGTGCGGCCGTACACCCTCCATGTTTATGTCCAATTTGACGACTTTAAGGTGAAACAAGGCTAGGGCCATGCCCAACTAGAAGATAGGGGTCAAACTCCCTCTTTGGAGAGCCTTTAAGGAGTGTACGACCAACCTTATGAAGGTGTGCGGCCGTACTCCTTCAAAGGGTGAAGAACATGATGATTCAAGACTTAGATCAAGAGGTCCTTCAAGTATAATAAGCTAGATGATGGAAAACTCATGTTTTCGAGGCCTTGGAAGGGTTCACGGTTGATGAAACTTGAGAGATATAGAGTAGTGTGCAGCCAAGAGAAGAAAGGAGTGAAGGAAAGAGGTCTACTCATATATATAGGGGTGGGTGATCCACCACCTTGAGTGTACTGCCATGGGGTGGGGTGTGCGGCCGCACACCTATGTGTACGGCCGTACACTCCTCCTAATAGAGTGTATGGCCCGATTTTGCTACTTTGTGACTTGACAACTCATTCCTAATCTCAACGTTGGTTGTACTTAAGCTTAGAACACTTAAACGAACCCTTAAACAATGCTAAAGGCCACAGAAACGAGTTTGGCATTGATTGAATTGACTAGATGCACAAGATAGAAGTTCCGGGTTGTCACATTCGGTGTTATACTTTAGTTTCTTTTTCACGTATATGGATTGATGTAAAGTACTAAAACTTATGGTTATGTGTTATTTTAATGTATTTTGATTGATCCACAACTTATTTTTATATGTATTTTTAATGTTTGAACTTGTAAACGACAAATTTATGATTTATATATGTATGCATGTGTAGGAAAATAGGAAAAAAAAAAAATGAAAACTATAGAAATCAGTTAACTCATCGGTCGAACCGGTTAAACCGATTCAACTGGAACCAGTCACCATACCGATTCAACTAAATATTGTTTTTCATTATAAAAAAATCTTGCCTTTTATATCTACACGCTGCTGAGCTGGACGTGGGCCAAATTTATAACCCATTTTGTGAAATCGTAAGTTATGGGGTGATTTCATAGCCGGCCAAATCGACAAATCGACATGTGAAATCGTTGGCTATTTTTGTAAAACTTGATTTGTTTTGGCTATTTTTGAATAAATTATTATGATCTGATTATAATTGATAATTTCTGTGTTCTTAAGAAAAAAGAAATCTTAGCGACGGATTAAAGAAAGCATGCGCAGTCTATTAACTTTTTACATTTGTTGTTGTTAAACACTCGATCATATATTTAGAAAACAACGAGGTCCAAAGGGCTTTATGAGGTTTGGTCTAATCTGACTTTTACAAATATTATTGACTATAGATCGAACTGAATAACATTATTATTGTATAAACATCATCAATTTATTATTTTATTATGAAATTACAAATAGTTATATAAAGAAATGAAATGTTTAAAAATTCAAACATAAAACTAATACGTCAAATATAATATAAAAATCATCAAATCATATAAGATCACTATATATATTTTTTTTGTTTAATAATGATTTTTTTAAGGTTTTAATGATTTGAGTGTTTTTTTAAACCACTGTAAGGAATTGAAAGATAATAATAATAATAATAATAATAATAATAATAATAATAATAAATACCAATAGCTTTTTATGGTTTGAGACAATCTGCATACCTAATTTTTTTTTAATTTGACGGTTCATATGGTATTATTATGTTTTGTTGTGTCGTTGGTTTTCACATGATATAAAAAGACTATTTTTCTTTAATAATTTAATTTTTAATTAATTTATTTATTGTTTACTATTTATTATTTATTAAAATTAAAATGGCCCCACACTATTTATAGTTTTTATGGCTAAATGATAAAAAAAACTATTAGACGGTTAACAATTCCAAAATTTAGTCGGTTTCTCCAATATTCATGGTTTTGTGGAGGTTTTTTAAAAAAAAAAATCAAAAGTCTGAATTATTAAATTAGGAAAAAAATATTTTCTCGGTAGTTAAACAAAGAGCTTAAACCCGGGGTGCTCGTTGAAATATGCGAGTAGGTTTCCGTTTAATCATTTGCCGTTTCCAAAAAAAAAAAAAAAAAAAAGTTAAACAAAGAAATATGAAATGACAGTGGCTTTTATGGAATTTTGCAGCAAGCAAAAGAAAAGTCATAATTGAAAAAAGAAAAAGAAAAAAAAGAAAAAGAAAAAAGGGGTGTTTGCAACTTTGCATTAAGTTCATTAAGAAGGGGTGTTTTTGCACAACAAAGAAACGTTAAGGGCTGTTAAGGTAAATATAACAAACAAAGACCAATTGGAAGATCAGCCTTGCCACACACCACATTGATCCGCCTCCTCACTGCTTTGTTTTCGTTTGGGGCGACGAATCGAAAGTAAACAAGAACGAAGACAAAATGGCGTTCGCGATGAGAGTGAAGGTTCCACCAAACTCAGCGAATTTGCAAGAAGCTAGGCATCGAACCTTTGATTTCTTCCGTGCAGCTTGCAGATCTATTCCTTCGATCATGGATATTTATAACCTATACGATGTTGTAAACCCTTCTGAGCTTCGCTCCACCATCGCCGCCCAAATCCGCAAGAACGCCCATATCACTAACCCTAAGGTATCTCCTAACCCCATATCGCCTTTAATTTCATTTTTGTTGTTGTACATCTCCAATCTAGGTAAGAGACTAGGTAAATTTGTTGTTCTAGCTATTTATTTGATGGGTATGTTTGGATTTTAAAATTCTCTATGGGTTTTGGTGTTTTGGGGATTTAGAGTAATGTTCCTCCCATTGGACTTCAGTCAATTTCTGTCATTGTCGTTTTGAGCTATACTAATCGTGTATGTAAAATGTTCTAGCTTTAAGTTGATAAGTTAAAGCTTTATTAGTTATACTGTGCTATAAGTTGAAGAAACTCGTTTATAAATACACATCAAGTTGTTTATTTACTTCTTAAGAGTCTTGAAGCTTTATCAATTTTGTCAAATGCCTAAAGGGTTTTAATGGTTATGCCATCTAGAATGCTGTGTTGTATACATCTTCTTAAAGATTTATCCTCTACTCTTCTCATTTCTTGGTCCTTTTCAAGTCATTCACTTACAAATTCCTGTTAGTAAAAATCATTTAAATGAAAATTAGCTCAATAAGGTTTTGTTGCAACATCTTTATCATCCTGGATTTGTTGGGAGTATGAAGCCTAAGTTGGAAGGCTTTAATACTTATATGAATCATTTAGGGAGTTCAGTCAACTTAATGACTATTTTATTGGAATCAACCATTCCATTCCTTCTCCTATTAATATCTCTACATATAAGCTTCATATTTAGTTTTTTTTCCCTCCATTAAACAACCAAAATTTTCTTTCATTAACAAACAAAACTATACTCCAATCCTCCAAAGAGCAAGCATCTCCTTCAAAAACATAAAAATCATTAGAACAAAAAAAAAACCTAACTTGACACCTAAAATAAGTACTTTCCCTCTCTTTTTGGCTTCTTTAATGATTTAACCCTTTATTCTTATGATCTTATCATTACATATTACCTAATCTATCTATTTTTTTTATATACTTACTCGTCTATAATTCTTATTAACTTAATTTAAGTGATCCTTCCAAAAACCTCATCTTCCTTGGTTTGTTTGAGAAATTCTTTTGAAAAGAGAAAGAATGAAAATTTGAGAAATTCATGTTGAATGAAAAGAGAAAAAACTAAAATTTTAAATTTTGAGAAACTCATTTTGGAGAAACATTTCTTTCAAAAACTTATGTTGAGGTATTTCATAGTGATCTTCGCATCTGTCTAGAATAATTGTTTAATGTAAAATGATTATCATATTTATTCTGAATAAAAAAGTCTAAATGGCAAAAATTATCAACTTATGGATTATTCAAGTAAAAGTCATTTGATCTATTGATAATTGAACATAATACTCCTCTCACGTTAAAATTGATGAATATTGTGACATTTGTTTTGATTGGGAATGTAAGGGTAAAATGGTCATTTTGTAGGTGATCGATATGCTGCTATTCAAGGGAATGGAAGAGTTAAGCAACATAACAGAACATGCAAAGCAACGACATCATATTATTGGCCAATATGTGGTTGGTAATAAAGGGCTTGTTCAAGATGTGGACACAAAGGATGAAGGATTGTCTCCATTTCTCAAAAATTTCTACAATTCCAACTACTAATCAAACTCTTAATCCCCATTTTTATGTCTTGTTTTATGTGTTGGTTTTCAAATAAAAACATGTTCTTGGATTCTTGTATGAATAACATCATCCTTTTGCTGATTACAAGCAAATTTGTTGGATACTAAAACAAAATTTTCTAGTTTTTTTGGGGGTTACCCTTTGTTGGCTATTTTATGCATGCAATATGGAAATTGATGCTTGTTTATCCACTTTAGATTTCAAAATCGTTAGAGTGTTATTTTCAATAATGATGATGAGAAGGGTATTTATGTCTTTTTATATATTGAAAATCGAAAGCGAGATTGTGTTTTTTAATTTTTTATTTGGGTGGACAAAAAGTTGTAAAATTTGTTTTCTTGATATTAATTTTACTCTCAGTCCAATGCATCACAAACGCAGACAGAATCCTATTATTTTAACAATATTCTGAAGCATGATTATGAGATTTGTGTCTAACATTATTTGTTGTATAAATTGATAAAAAAAATTGATACACGATAGCATATGTGTGTATGCAATCAACCGTACCAAAAATATATTGATACATGGTTGGTAATTTTTGGAATTGAAGTTCAAAATTGTTTATTTTTTATACTAACCAAATCTCTGTCTTTAACCTTTAAGACTACTAGACTAGTGATTTAGGGTTAGTTTTGCACAAGTGAACATAACAAGTGTTGAAACATCGGACAATTTAGTATTTTTACCTCATTTTTCTTCTTTAGTTTCTCATCATCTTCAACCTTTGAAATGATGGGTGTAGCACTATTGATTTTGCCGTGGTATATTTGCAGACGTGGTTAAAGTTTCCAGTCTTTATAGCTGCTGCAGTGTGTGACTTTCAATTTTAATATGGATTGAGCTCATTATGGACACTAGGTTTTAAAGGATTTAATGTTAGTGATATTCTATTATTGATAAGAGCCTCCAACACCTATTGCCAACCTATTTGCAATGCCACATAATACCCATTTGCCCGTTTGCATGTCACTTAGAGCACCTATACCGATGCAATATTAAGACCTTGCAAATGGTGGGCCGGCTCAACATATTCATTAATTTTTAGAAAGAGAAAACAATGGCAAAACAGATTGATTTTTAATATTTAAATATGATTATTAGATTAAAATAATATAAAAGCACTTGCAAGTCTTTCGGATATAAAAAGATGAAGTCTTAAATGGCATTAAATACTTGCTTAGTGACATTGCAAACTATGTTTGAAAGAGACGATGCGGAGGGTCTTATGATTACATCTTTCGTAACTTGGAAGACTTGTAATAATATTAATTGTTTTTATTTTTTATTTAATTTACTTAATATATTAATTTTTTACTATATAAATGTATTGATGAATTAGATATCGTTTAATTTATATTTTAAAATCAATTGTTTATATATTATAACTAAGATTAAGATAAAGTGCTTTTTCGATGTTAATTTTTTGAAATGTTTGTTAGTTTAATTAAAAATTTATTATTATTTGAATAATAGATATCAATAACTATTTTTTATTTAAATTATAAATAATTATATTCATGTTATTTTATTATTCAATAATTAAGAATTTGTTAAAAATATATAGTTGTTGAGTTGATGCGAGAGTGAAACCATATTTGAAAGATAATTGATATTGGATACTAATGTAGAAACAATTGCTTAAAGATAATTGATTATATTTATGGACATTTCGATTTCAATTGTTGAAAATATTTTAATATATATGTCATGCAGGACATAAGTTTTATGTTTTGTGAAAAAAATGTTGTTTTGGAAATCCAAAATTCACATTTGGATTTTTTGTAATTGTGATTCCTTATTAAAATGAAGCAAACGTAGAAATTTACAGGTGGCTACGCGAGAGACTTTACTTTATTGTATTTTTTGAAAGTATGAGATTTTTTTTTTGGGTTTTTACAGGAAAAAAATGATGCAAAAGAGGGGGTTTTCAGCAAAATAGAGTAACAAAAAAGGTTATTTTACCAAAAGATGAGTTTAGTTTAGTAAAATATATGATGAAATCCAATTCCAATTGGGTGACATGTTTGGTGTTTGGGATACAACAAAGAGATCCGACTTCAAGGCTTGTCAATGATACATTTTGTAATTGTAGTTTCCTTTCTTTAGGGAGGTATTTGCTAATTAGTTCCGCAATATTAAAGGACTTCTAAGTACTTGATTTACCTCTCATACAATTGGCTTGAAAATTCATTCATATAATCGCCTAACATTTGCTTGAGAATTCTAGGTGTTTGATTTTCACAACTAGAGATATATTATTCTAGATCAACATTTATAGAAGATGACAGACTACTTTAATTTTAATCCAAATGCATAAATTGCATCGAGACGAAAGACAAACGGACAACAAGGCTACTGTTAATCCTCTATGGATTGCAAAATAACTCATTTAAAACTTCATTCACATATCTTAGAGTTTAATATTATTGATCCATTGGACTCTATTTGAGGATTTTATAGCATCCGGATCTATGACACCAAAATTATTAAACGCAAATTGTATAAACACTTGTTACTATTTACGCATGATTTATCGTGTTTTATCACTTTGCATGAGACAACTATTAAAGCAACCTGTTCCTCAATGGATTTCAAGTTGTCATCTCTTAATAAGAGAATAAGACGGATGAGCAATTACTTTTATCATATGAAAGCTCAAAATACATATCTTAATGCATTACCTAAATGCTATGTTTTATTTAAACGGATACTCTTCATATATAGTTTTACCGAATTAAGTCAAGAAAGAGTAGCTAAGTTTTAATACCAATATCTCCGAATGAGAATCCCTAACTCAACTCAACTCAACTATCCGAAAATCCATTACACAAGTTTTACGTAAATAAAAAAAGCGAAAACATAAATGTGCTCTCAATGAGTTGACTCGCTATTTTCTAACTTTTGTTGCTGTCTCTTGGAATGTTCAAATCCTTAAACACCGGGCTATCAACTCCAACTCCCATTGCATTGAGACCGTTGTCCACATACAAAACTGTCCCTGTGATGGCCGAAGCCAATGGGGACGCCAGAAAAGCAGCCGCGTTTCCCACCTCCTCTGTTTAATTCCATTTATTAGTACGTGAGGGTAAAATCGTCATTTACTTATATTTAATTTTTTTTAAAAGCATACGAGGGTAAAATGGTCATTTTACTAGCAAAATTAGGGAAGAACACTATGCGCTTGTGCTTAATTCCATTTTTTTTTATCACACTATTAGTACGCGAGGGTAAAATCGTCATTTACTACACTTAATTTTTCAAAACCATACGAGGGTAAAATGGTCATTTTCCTAGCAAGATTAGGGAAGAACAAGTTGTACCATGCATGTGCTTGTGCTTAATTCCATTTTTTTATCACACTATTAGTACACGAGGGTAAAATCGTCATTTACTACAGTTAATTTTTAAAACCCTACGAGGGTAAAATGGTCATTTTACTAGCAAGATTAGGGAAGAACAAGTTGTACTATGCATGTGCTTGTGCTTAATTCCATTTTTTTATCACTATTAGTACACGAGGGTAAAATCGTCATTTACTACAGTTAATTTTTAAAACCATACGAGGGTAAAATGGTCATTTTCCTAGCAAGATTAGGGAAGAACAAGTTGTACTGTGCTTGTGCTTAGTAAGCATGGACTAAAAATAGGACCCATAATAGCAACATACTTATATATATATATATATATATATATATATATATATATATATATATATATATATATATATAT